TTTGTCCTTAACGTTGTCCTGTGGTTCCAGAGTCCCTGTCCTTCCATTTCCTTTTAAATATATTTTTAATCCTCATCCCTATCCCCCAGTCCTAGCAGTTTCAAATTGTATTGCAATAAAATGTTTTGAATTCTTCACATAGGTACCTAACATTGACATGCCACGTCCAGAGTCGTGGACCGCTAATACTTCAAATCTCTTCCTTCCCAATCTGACAACATCCCACGTCTCAAATGCACATTGTGTGGAAATATTAGAGGCTGCCCGTCAGTCTCTGTCTAACCGAAACCGTCACATGCAGGTAAGATATTTATTTCTATTTCCCTATGGTTAATATGTTATTGATGCATTATCCATTAAAATAGACATGGTGTAGGGTAAATGGCAAATCACGAACACTGCCAAAATCCGAGCAGCCAACTTTCAACTGCAATATCTGATATTTAGTGTAAATTGAGTTGGAATATGGCCAAATTAAATTGACAACTTTTAGGTGAAAGGTGGTGATTTGGGTTAAGGGGCGAGTCAACTACTGGGTTATTTTGCACCCATTAAATGAATCTTCTGCTACAATTCTACCCATTGAACCTCAATATCATGATCCACCTGTCCATCACTAGGTATCCTTCCTTATCACATAGAAACTTTGAATGGCATGGCAATTTATAATTTTAAATGACAATATTTTTATGTTTCTTCTGTAGGTAGGTAGGTAGGTAGGTAGGTACACCAGACTGCTATGGACACTTTTCCAAGTTGGTGGGGCAAAAAACCTAATGTTTATCTTGGTTTGAGTCGTTTGATTGAGTTGATTGATTCCTTTCATTGTCGCGTTTGAGTCGATTGAATCAATTCCCGAAAACTGCTCTGATTTGATTGATTTGATTGGTTTCCCAAATTTGTCGTGATTGAATTGATTGCTATTGCTTGAGTCGTATACAACCCTGCTTCTAACTAAGACAACCTAAATATAATTATCTGCAACTGACACGGTTCCGAATTATTGCTAACTTTCCACTAAATTGATCAGACGTGTGCAGTTTTTCCATGAGGATTCGGTGAATTGAAGGGCGGCAGTCTAAAAACGTGGCGCTATGACACCTGCCTTCCCGCAGCTGCTGTGTTGGAGCCTGGCGATCAAATGCCATATCTATTCTTCCGTCGACCGCCCTTGTCCCAAACTTTCGACATGGAGCTCATTGTCTCACCCGTGCTCCTTGCCGCAGGTACCTGAAGGGCTGCCTTCAGAGCTGCGATGATATCGATGGCTGTAACGGGGCTGGAGTCAGCGCGCTGACCGCTGCGGTCCTGCTCTGGTCAGCCCTGGTGGCAGCGGTGGTTCGATAGGTGACTCGCTAACCTATACCGACGGGTCACCCGCTGACCTACCGACGGGTCAACCGCTGAGCTACCGACGGGTCACCCGCTGACCTACCGACGGGTCACCCGCTGACCTACCGACGGGTCACTCAGTGACCTAGCAAGGGTTACTCGCTGGTCTCTGCTCGGTCACAGGCTGGCGAAGGCCCGGTGCGCCCACCCCGCACTCGGGCAGTGACTGCTACTGCAGTTGAACGGTGCTGCACGGTTCAGTGGAAACTGCCGTGGTAGCTGGTCACTCAAAGGCAACCAGACCAGGACTGACGTCTGACAGAGGACCCACGAACTCACCGTGGTGTCAACAGTGTGCATATCCACAGGGTGGCCTCCCAAAACCAGGTTTCTGTTACTGCTATATCAGCTAATGGCGTAAATGATGTGACCGACCGGCATATACATAGATGTAATGTTGCATCTGTGTTATGTCGGGGTGAGATAGTTTGTCATGCTTGGTTGTGATCTAATTATTTCGTTTTTTTTAAGCCGTAAAAAGATAAATGTTCTAGGATGTTCTTCTGATGATCGAGGTCGTTCCATTTGTGCCTCGAATAGAGATGATAATGCCAGCCATGTGAGTGCTGGGCTTTTCTCCTGCTTTTTATCAAATTTTTTTACTGTATGCTGAATACTACGGTGAATTACATATGTTAGCAACAGATCTCATTAAAGCCTGAGCAGTATTTGAGCAATGTGAAGCTGAGGTCACCTTACTAAGGAAGATGGTGGTGCATCGGTTTCTGTGTTTCCCTTTCAAAGTGTGTTTCTTTTTAGACGCACATTTGTCTGATCATTCGCTAACGTGCTACCACGATACGGCACTGAAGGCACTAAACACACGCACATCGCGCACAAATATGCCGTTCGCTTGTTTACGTGCATTTCCAGCCGCAGTTTCGTCCGTGGTGTGAGGACACAGTGGTAGCGAATATGAGTTCGTACTTGCTCTTGATGGTAAGACAGTATTAGGCATTAAATGTAAAACTGTTTGCTGTGTTAGTAATGAGAAGCACCTAGTCAAGCATGGTTCACGCCCGCACAACCACTGCTCATGAATTACAATTTTTTTAATAGTGTGCCATGGACATAATCTCATCCAAAAAAAATAACACAGTGCACAGTAGTTCAGAAGGTACCTATATTTGTTCTCTCTGTCAAATTACGCCTTTATTCGTATTGACTTAAATCAAACTGTATCAGAGAGATTCCTCTACTATTTTTTTCGTACTTGAGTTTTTGGTGATACTATCGATGCCTTCCTGAGTTGCTTTAATGCTCTGAATCTTTAATGAGCCAAGCAATCGCAAAATTGATAGCTCTATATCTTATGACGGTTATGTAAATGCTTTCATTGGAAAGACCAAATACAAGACAAACGCAGTGTTCCGATGATTGAAGTCCATACTGTCTATTTTTTCTTTCGCATTAAAAGTAAACAATGAGTTAAGAAGTTGACGATATTGACGCAAATGTATTACGTGCGAGCGGTGGACATAAAAACGTTTTGAGCCACACCCACCAATCAGTATTGTGTTTGTATCTTGGGGTGCAATGTTTAAGTGTGCATGCCGTTACTGATATGAAATATATTTTGTACGGACTTTGTTGTTTCCAATTGAATGGTATCAGCTTAAGGGCAATGTAAACTGGTGTAACATCTGACTGAGACGCAAGCTCGTACACCTGCGGTCTGACACCATAACAATCTCAGAACCGATTCGTAGCACTAACTATTTCCTTCGTCATACAGAAACCAGACCTATATAGGCATCGCGTCCTACACAGATCGTTTAAACGGAGCCGACCGTGCCGATGGCCTGTCGGGGCATCGTTTTGACACGGTGACCCCCAGCGGCGCCTCTGACGAGCGACCACATCTGTAGCTGACACCCCCCCCCCCCCGCCCGACGGGGAGCGAGCGGCATCGTCGACCAGTCACATACAGTCACAGACACACATACACCGGTCACACCGCGGCTGAATAAACCAGTCAGAGGCACATACGGAACGAGGAGGACCAGTCAGAGGCACACGCGGAACCAGAACCAGAGGCACCAACCAGAGGCACACGCGAAACGAGAAGATGTGCTGTGGCCGGTACTGTGAAAACTGGACGACAAACACATTTTATCAGCAGTAACTTGAATTATAGCGGTGTAAACTTCCAAGTTTCAAGTCACATCTTGTGCGTAACACTCCGAACGAGCTGCAGTAAAGCGCCAACGAGATGCATACATCACTGGACAGGGGACATCACTGGAATAGGGACTCAGAGCATTTACACGTAACACGAAACGTACCTAGAATCTGCGCCAGTCGGCACAGGACTGGTTGTGTGAGCACAGCCAGCCAAGTGTACCGATGGCTTTAGGCTTCCTAACAGCGTTTTACGCTTCCAGCTGGCAGCCTGTGTATGTTCCTATGTTTCGCGGAATGGGATGAGAGTCACAGCATGCCTGCCCCGGGCTCTAAACAGGGCCAAACAGCGGGCGCGGCGGTCCAAACACTGCCTCACGCCGGTGCGGCTCGTCACACTCCTCGTTTGTCGGCTCGAGCCGGGAATCACCGGCCTCCAGCGGGCGACCAGGGTGGGCTAGGGATCTCGTAGCTGACGAAATACACAACGATATCCCGCACACACATTGTATTAAATTAAAAACTCACGTTACGAATACAAACACCAGTGTATTGACTTCGAATTCATTGCACTAACTCCACCAAACATAACGCATTGTCGTTTCATTTACCTACCATGGGTGAATGTTCTAAAGACAACTATTTCGGTCGACAGGGTATGAAAAACAAAACAAAAATACAAAACAAACGGTAGGCACGGGCAACCAAGGTACGAACGACGATGGGTCCGTCCAGCACAATTGTAATTATAATGCGGCACATTTGTGAAATTCGCTGCGTCTCGTAACAAAACTTTTGCATAAAACCTACTAGACTGTTATTGGTTCGTCCTATTCACTCTTTACTATTGAAACATTGCTGGGTTCTTTGAACAAAGTGTGGTATTTCCACGAGTGGTCATTGGTCACGTGTGCTCATTGCCCACTACAGTTTGACCGTAACTTCCATCAGGCACTATCTCTATCTAATCCACAAACAAAGCACTTATATAACTCAGCGATTAACGTCTAACGAACACTGAGAGTCGCGAGAGCTGTGGGCTGTTGCCGTTTTCTTTCCAATCGCTTGGACATTTTTAATCTTCGTCTCTTTTCCATGTCATCTGAAGACTGGCGGTGATACATTGTTAGGTACACAGTGCGACAGCTTGTTGAACTGACGGTGAACACAAATATGGACGGTATTTAGCTTCGGGAACATCGTGCCGGCTGGAAAAAAATTCACGTTGTCAAATGTCAATAGTCAGTTCGTTGCACTGTGGCGTACTGCTACACATTTAAATGCAGTATTTTAGCTTGCATAATTGCCAAGCATGGTTTCAGTGTTGATCTTGATCTTAAATATTTCTGTGATGTCTGCGCTTCCGACTTGTGTGTGCGACTACGTGCCATATCTATCAGTTTTGTAGACCTCAATTCATGATTTCCTATTAACCTCTGCTTATTACAGACGCCCTTCAAATAATCTTCAGACTTCAGGTCATCGTTGCCATCGTCATCGTCTTGCCCTTAGGCATCTTTCTTATTGATGGTTCCATTTAGCTATCAGACGGTTTACTAGCTGCAATCCCTCGGAGCTTTTAGTCCGCTGTTTTCTGCCGAGTCCCTCTATGATAAGGCTCCTGAGTAGGTATTCTCCAGTTTCCCATGGCTCTGAGGTCCTCTGTGATCATAAGTTTGTTCGTTACCTGTCGGGTGGACTGGGAGGTGCAGCAGCCAGTGTCAGTGCCAGTAGCACGTGTTGAACCACACCTGTGTTTGCAGCCAGCGTTAGGGCCAGCGCTGGAGCCAGCAGCCAGCCGCCGCGGCGCACTACCGCCGTGTTGCAGCCGTCGAAACTGTCACAGGCCGAGATACAGCCGTGGACATACCTGAAACACACGGCAGCGCTGAATTGTGCAGTTCAGTCACAGTTCAGCACTTAGAAGCCGCAATCTTCAGCTTGCAGGCTGCTCAATGACGTGGAATTAGATGCAACTCAGGTCTACAACGTAGCTAACAGTTAAATGTTAAAGGTAAGGTTACATAATAATGAAATCGCACCGTAATCAAGTACCGTTTTTATGAAACTGACATTCTTGCCGCTCAATACAAAACTCCAAACAGCAACAACCATCACCCCGTATTTCATTCCGGCGCGCGCCGTTACCTGTCCTGAAACTCGAAGCTGCCGCAGTGCGACATCCGTGTCAGCTCCGTATCGATGGTCAGCGTGGCACTGTCCACGGCGCAGTCCCTAATGATCATACTGGTCCCGTCATCGCCTGCGGAAAGGTCAGTGTGATCAGTGTGGAACGGCTCAGAGCGGAACGGTCAGTGTGGCAGTGTGGTGCTGTCCACGCCCACGGCGCAGACCCTTGAAAGTTGAATTATCATACTGGTCCCGTCATCGCCTGCGGAAAGGTCGGTGTGATCAGTGTGGAACGTCAATGTGGAATGGTCAGTGTGGAACGGTCAGAGTGGAGTGGTCAGTGTAGAACGGTCATTGTGGGTCAGTGTGGTACTGTCCGCGAGGCAGTCCCTAATGATCATACCATAGTGCCGGCACTATGTACTACATACATAGTACCGTCATCGCCTGAGAAACACAGCATATGAAACGTTACGACAAACACATTCAACATGTCACATATTCGGCAATATGCATGTAAGAGGCTATCCGCAACCAACAAATAACCAGTCAGTTTCTGACCCGAAGAAGGGTCGCTTATTTACTGAAAAGGGTTCTACATTACAATAGAGGAATTCGTAGCGTACGTACAGCCCTCTGCAGACTGCGTGGTAGGTATTCTTTTTTCGACAAAAAAGAGAATGACGCAAATACCATGCTATCGGTCATTCGGAAATCGTAACAGCAAGACGCGCGAGACTCCACATCTTAGATTGGCATCATCACCGTATTCATTTTCCATCTACAGTAGTTCGGCAACAAAACCCAAAAGTTTATATTTGCCCCCAAAACAAACTTTTGCATTTTGTTGCCACACGAGGCGCATACTTCGTTAAGTTATAGACCTAATCGAAGGAGTGGAGCATGGCGCATCTATTTGCTATGAGTTCCGACCGACTGATAGCATAGCCTTTGAGTTATTATCGGTTTTGTCGAAAAAAGAATACCTACCACGCAGTCTGCTGAGGGATGTACATACCTACACATCCATGAGGAAACTGAAAAAGATTCAACGGCACCGATAGCACATCAGCACTCAGCGGGCAGTCTCCCCTCGCCATCCCATGCTGCCGGCAAGTTGACCGGCGTATCAGCGCCATCGTTAGCTGGGGCGGCGCCGCGGGGTCGGTATTCGCGATCCGAGCCTGATTAATGGGCGTGACCCCGGCCCGCCCTGTCCCACTCAACGCCGGAGGGCGCCCCCCCCCCCCTCCCTTCCCCCCCGCCCACCACCGGTCATACGATACCGTCCCCCACGGCAGCGGCCATAGGTGCCACCTGACTGAACAGTCAACACCTATCTCTCTGATTGAAAGGGGTCGTATCAAATTGACGCCTAGCCCGCACCAGTGCCAATATCAGTCGGTAGATAGTTATCTACATTCTACAGGGCTATCATATTAACACTTTTAGAGTAAATTGGCAGCACTAGAACAAACTTGACCAACAAAGATGGAGTCGACTTGGAACGATACATCACTGTGGCCTTAGCGGAAATAGCAATGACCGTGTGCGTTGCGCGAGCCTCATGGTCAATCTAATGGTCAATCTAATAGACGAGTCTCGCCATAAACGTCTGTAGAAATCACCAATATCATCGCATCTGGGCAGAAAGTTCCTTTGTTTCCTTACGCCAGTGCGGCCGCCCGTCTCCCTCTGGTAGTAAGTGCAGAATGGTCGAATGAATGCAACCATTTATGTGCATCGGTCTTACGGTGGACGCAGGAATAGACACTGGACACTGGACAGCCGCTGAGGAGTGAGGAAGTCTGTCCCTGTACACTGATCAGAGGAAGTTCGGAAAACATTTTTTCCTTAAAAACAAAAACAAAAAATGTAAGCCGATACTTACTGTAAAATCCTGAGAGTTTAACACAGGCGCTGGCAGGGAAGAGGCCGTTCCTCTGTTTTCTGCAACATAAACGGGAGTCAGTTCACACCAACAACAGTTAACAAATCTGGTGAAATCATTCTGGTAAAAGAACTTACAACGGATCGTGAGTGCACCGGACCTCCGACCCCAAATGACCGGCACTAAGCCGACGCGTCATAAGTACGCTATCTGTATGAGCACTGTGCATTGCGCAATGTGCACGGTGTCGTCCGACCCTTTAGACGAGCGGTACGGCGCGCATTGCGTCCGGCGCGGTTACAGTGCCGCCTCTGAGGGCGCCCCAGTGCCGCCCACGGCACAGCCGGGACCGTAATGGTCCGACAACGGTTGATACTTAGCGCCGGATGAGAGCGGCGACGTCGTTAATCACAGCAGACACCTCAGTCACGCTAATTGACGGATGGCCAGATTAAACGATAAATGATCGCTCTTCAGCTGCACAAAAAGCTTTGGTATATAGAACAGCCTAAGTGTCTCACAAAATCGAGTTCTTTACCTACTCAAGAACGGACAAGGAGTACTTCAACCAAATTTTCTGAAATCTTTAAGTCTTGACCTAAAGTCTTCTGTACTCGAGAACGAACAAAGAGCTATTCAAGCAAATTCTCTGAAATCTTTAACTTGAGCTAAAGCTGCAGCTGAAAATATTGTCAATGTACAGTGAGAAAATATCGTCACTTCAACGTGAGAAGATTGCCTTATAGCTTATACCTATCGGTGCACTTTTATTGTAAAAACAAATGCGTTAATTTTCTTGGTGGCTTTTTTAGCATTTATAAAGTGCCTAACCATTTTTAAGCACGCCTGCAGAGCTTTCGGGAATAGCGTGATTTGCAATCGATAGGCCAATCGGGACCAGGATATTGACGGTAACGTATTTTTGTGGACCCGGCGAAATCAATTGCGACAGCCGCCGTCTTATTAGCTGGCCGGGCGACCCACACGTCAATCACATCGTTCGGATAAAGGTCAAAGGGCGAATCAAAAGCTGGGAAGGTGAGACAAAGTTACTTGACCTTGAAAATTTATTGTACTTTATTGAATAGAACATAAGTTATGGCCATACTCCTGTGCTGAGCCTTTGCGCCCCTGTCCCGATGACTTCGTACCCTAGCAATCCCTCCGTTCGCGATGAGCCGAACCCTCCCCCAATATTGTCATCCCCGCTGATTTTCGTACCTGCCTCCCATGCAGCCGGAGACGAGCAGGTCGGTATAGTTGTTGTGGAACGGGTCCTGACAGCGCGGGTCGGAGCCGTTCACGGAGCTGCACCGGAAACAGTCGATACCGGACGCCGCTGCCGACGGTCAGAGAGGTGCTGTCAGCTCCGGCACTGCACTGGCAGGAGTGGTCAGAGGGGAGCGCTCTGTGGTGCGCATGTGAGGTACCGAAAAGAATACCGAGTTGCGAAGCCAGACGGATACGGCGAAATACGGCTAAGGAGAATGTAGCAATGCTTCTTGCTGACGAGTGCCCTCGAAGGCCATGCATCCATTCCGGAATGTTAACGTTATTGCAGTTGATATGCGCAATTGAAATACTGCAACCTATCTCCTTCCATAGCATTCAGTATTTTTTGGCGATAGCATTAAAAAAAAAAGTGAAAACGCATCTAGCTTCCTTGAGTACAATTTCACGGATTCATATCACGCTGCCAGCCGGCAGTGGGGCTATTTGGGGCGCCGGGCGGGCTGTAGCGGATGGCTAATGGGCCGTGCAAGACCGGCGCCCGTTGGGACAGCCCGTCTCCTCGGTCCGCCCGGGTGAACGGGCCGGCCGACAGCTACCATCAGCGACTTTCAATCGAGCGATCGGACAGCGGCTGACCTTGACAGCAAAACACGACAGTCACGAACGTTTTGTGAAGGAATGTGAGCCCGCTGGCTGCCTGGTAATCGCGTGATGGTGAAAGCTTCAGCAATAGGACATCAAAAAGTCATGCAGGAATTGAGCGTGACCAGACGAGAAAATGACAAGCGCCCAATAAATGTGCTTTATGTGAACTGAACCAGTAAAACCATTGCCAACGGCCCTACAGCAGTTAAGTTATGACTGGAGGACTTTCCTATTGCAGCCGCGCTCGTGGACGGCCGAGCGCCCGCGCTAGGTAGACTGCGCCACAGCACATCTGTGTCCGGCGGCACAGCATAACCTCCCCGCGTCGCCGTCTCACCGTGCGCAGTGGGTGGAAGTGGAGTTAATAACTACTGTTAACGCCAGACCCTTTGAAACCCTAATTTTTCGCGATTATTTTTAAATGCGTGGAGGAATTTCAACCAGGCTCAGGACATGGCCGTTTCAAGACAGGCCGAAACTTTTACAATTTAGATATTTTATCGCCATTTCAATATTTCAGGCACTTGTCATTGACTCGTAATGTTAACTGTTTTTCCATCCTGGATAGAGGCTTTCTACGTCATATGACATTAGGCTCCGCCCACGACTACGGCATTGACCCGTGCCCATCAGCGACCTCTGTACAAACGACACCCCTGCCATCTGTGAAGGACTATGAATTTCGCTGACGCTTCACGTGCTATGAGTCAATTGCAGCAGACGGTCAAGTAAATGTTAGGCTCTTGTTGACTGTTGTATATAGGACCAAGAGGACCATCACTCTCTCACCTATCCGTGCTTCTATCCTCAGGATACTGATATCCTTCTCCTCCACGCCACAACCCCCCTCCGGGCTGGACAGGCAACTTTATCTCATGCGGGCTGCTCCCTTGGAGCGGCACCGCTGCTCCCGAGGGAGCGCACCCCGTAGCCGGGTGCAGTGAGTGCCTTGGGGCTGGGTGGCCTGTCCTCTGGACGGGCTCAGCCCCGGCGACTCACTAGGGTGCCTGTCCAGACCAATGTCTCCCCCTAATTCCTATCATCCTTCCGGCTCTGCAATGGTCTTGTCGACCGAGAGGGCCTAACCCATCAAAACAAAACAAACAAAATCACTCCTCAACCTACTACTCAGTCGTGCTTCGAACAAACGTTAACAATTCCTAACAAATACGATTTTCGATGTAGGGTATCTGTTTGAAATACGAGGGAGCCTTATGATGTGAAGCGAAGGCAATTAACTTATTATTGCGTTGTTCGATGGTTGCATAGCGATGTACAAATCGGCAGCTACTTGGTGACATCCGACATCCCATTATCGCATTATCTGCAACGCCATAGGCTTTAAATACAGGTGAATATTTCCTAACCTTATGTCAGTTATATGCCATCTGCCCGTCATTTGCAGCTTATAAAAAAAAAATATCAGCGAACATATCAGCATTGTAGAAGCAATGCGCATTGAGCATTTATGGCTCCTTAGTCATCATGTCGCTCTCTGGGCACTGTCAGCCAAGACGCTACGCACAACTCCGCCGGCTTTCGGCACCGCTCGACCGTCGCCGCTCCCCGCCACAGCGAGAGTGACCGCGCGCCGGCCCGAAACCGCCGCAGGCCAAGACCACAGAGGCTTGGCCTGCGGCGTCATAACGTATCACAGACTGACTGGTGATAGCCTCTACACACCGGATGAAAATCTTGCTCGAAATTTAACATTACGAGTCAATTACAAGTGCCTGAAATCATTAGCGTCGCCACGGGGGGGGCAAGCGGGGCAGCTTGCCCCCCCAACCTCGGACCGGGCACCCCCTGAGATCGATACAGATCCGATGAGATTTTGGAGTCGGGAAAAAATGGGGGTACCTTTCTGAGAATGCCTGTGAGGTCAGACTCGGTTGCAGCAAGCAGTTCAAACCAGAGTCTGACTCGCAGTCGCCAAAGTCTTGAAGACTCCGATTCCAGACTCGGAAATGTCAATGCTGTGATTCATTCCACGTTCCTAGTTCGTTCTTTATTACATTTTACATACGTTTTTTCATAAGTTTTGGAGTGGTGATACAATTTTCGTTCAAAGCGTGAAACGAAATCTTCGGGGCCTTTCTCAACTCTCGTCAAATGTCTGCGACAGGCTCAAGTACAGTACAAGTGTTGCAGGGCTCATGAGCTTGCTTTAACCCTCGCCCGTAAACGGCGATCTGCCACCTTCGCCCATGCAGGGGGGGGGGTTGGTGCGACCCCCCCCCCCTTGGCGTTTGAAAACGGAGCGTCGTAGAGCTTAGCGGAAAAGACCAACGGATTGCTCTCGCCGAGATCTCGCGATTGGTGGTATATTTTTTGGTCCTAGGTCAACATTTGACCTACTTTTGACCGGTCAAAGGTCAAATTTTCGGAAAAATAGACTTTTTTCAACTTTCCGCGGCGATTGCGGCAAAACGGTGGGAGATATCGACTTGAAACCTTCACTATCATGTTCCTTGATCAATTCTCTATCGTTTGGTATGTATTTCGTTTCCCTAGCTCTAAAAATGGCGCGTTGGGAGCGCCGGAAGTCGGCAAGGTCACAGTCGGCGGCAGAAATTCGAAAAATCAAAATTTAAATTTTTGAAATCTGATTGTATTTTTGGTTTTGGAAGGTCCATTTGCTCCCTATAGAAGCTAATATTGCTGCATATTCCCATTGAGGTGACAAGAATTAGCAAAATAGTGGTTCGGGCGCTTTTCAAAAATAGTACCGGACGCTGCTCCTCTTGTGACGTCATAGCTCCGTGACCTGACCTGACCCGGTCAAGTTTCTTATACCATATGATAGCCAATACTTGCCCCAACATGCATGGGAAGTTTCATCACGATCCATCAACCGATGTCCGTACCACCGGCAGGAAACCTCGGGCGTTGGCACTCAGTTTGTGAAAATCCGGCCGGAGGCTGTTCCCTTTGTGACGTCATAACTCCGTGACCTGACATGACCCGGTCAAAATTTTTTTATCAAAAGATGCGCAAGGGTTGCCCCATAAGGTACCCAAAATTTGGCGGCGCTGCGCGCCGCCGTTTTTGCACTATTTCCGAAAAACCGCAGGGGGGGGGGTTGCACCAACCCCCCCCCTACATGGGCGAGGGTTAACCCTCAAGGGCTCCTAAGGAGCTCCACTGAGCCCTAAAGAAGCCTTCAGAGGGCCCAAACCGGCCTCTTAAAGTCCCACTGGTGTCCATGTTCTCTGAGGGCCCATACAGGGATATTTGAGCCTTCGAACATTTCTGAAAACCTGGCCTCTGATAGTTCAGCCAAACTTTTGAGGCGACAGACTTTGCTAACCCCAAGCCGGCATCTGAGGGGTCACAGCTCACGTGTCCCTCTGAGGTCCGCAACACATGTTAATTATGTCCCTACGTAGGGTCCTTAGGGATTCGACACAGACCCCCAGGGTTCACACTGCTATCCGAGGGCTCCAGGCTCACCCTGGGCCTAGTCTCTTAGCGCCCGCCGCCCACACTGGCTTCTGAGGGCCCCACCTTGGGCTCGGAAAGCCCTAAAGCACCACGTACACGTAAATATTTGAGGTGACCCACGCCGATCTCCGGAATCCTAAGCATGCTTCTGAGAGTCAGCACCGACCCTGAGTGGCCTAAAATGGCCTGGAAGTCCCAAACCTATCTCTAAGGGATCCCTTGCCGCTATGCCGTGCGTAGCTTTTGGTTCCGTTTAACAGTTTTTGTTCGCGTTTGCATCGCTTCCCTTCACACGAAAAACGAGAAACTTTTGTTCACACTCGAGTGAACAAAACACTTCCTCTCACTGGAGCAAAGATGAATTACTTCCGATTCATACTTCCGACATTCACTCTCCGCCGAATGCCCAACTTAGCTACGATCGGCGGCTGGGATAAGTCCTATGCATTTCACGTAAAACCTCTGCATGCGTGCGTGAATGGAGGTTTTAGCAGGGTGATCCGACTAAATGGAGCGTTTTTCACCTTTTTCTGGGCAATGATCATGAGCGTCGAGCGTCTGCACAGGGGCCCTCTGCACTGCGTCGGCAATCGCAGCCACTATATACTATAATTCTACCAGTCGTTTTTGTCATGAAATTTCAAAATTTCGAATTTTTCTATAAAAAAATTACATGTCATAGCTAGAAGGAAACCTTTGTCGCCATCGGATTCCTCTCACCATTGCGCGTCGAATGATATGTAAAACGAGTGAGTAAAGACTGGGGAAAGGCAAGTTTTAACACAAAAGTTGATTTTGCCCCCCCCCCCCCAACCGAAAATCTCTGGCGACGCCTATGCCTGAAATATTGAAATAGCGATAAAATATCTAAATTGTAAAAGTTTCGGCCTGTCTTGAAACGGCCATGTCCTGAGCTTGGTTGAAATTCCTTCACGCATTTAAAAGTAATCGCGAAAAATTAGGGTCTCAAGGGGTCTGGCGTTAACAGTAGGAATCACATGTTTTCTGTTTTATGGAAGGTAACAATAAAGCAGCCGAAAAAGACGGTCACGAGCCAAAAACGCATCCTCGATTTGATTTCATTATCGGTGGCATTCCTTTTCGCCTTTTACGTTTCCATGAATCATTCGTTTCTGTAATACGGTCATCTTTCCGTCCCGTGAATCGGCCGCCCTCCCCCGCGAGCCATCGATCTCACACCCAGTGTCCGTCCCGTATCAATCACTGCCGGCCCTCTGCCTCCGCCGGCGCGCCGAGTCGCCCGCGCTCGTCGTGTTGACGCCGCCGCCGGATGGCGTCACGCCCGATTAGGCCGCCTTCTGACGGCGATTCGCGGTCTGCGCGGGCCACGCGCGCCACATTTCCGGAGCTCATTTGGCGCGCTGGGCACTCACCGGGCAGCAGCAGCGGCAGCAGTGTCAGGAGCAGCGGCAGCGGCCGCGGACGGCGGCGGCGGCCGTCTGCCAGCGGGGCGCCGCCAGGAAGCGGGCACCGGATCTCCATCATCGGCCGCCGGTGGATCTGCCGGCCAGAGCCGCCGTCCGGATAAGTGCCGCTGAGAGGAGCGCGCCCGCCAGCCGCCCGCGGCCCGTTCGGGCCAGCGGGCCGGACGAACGGCTCCGCCCAGAACCATAGGCGGCGGAACGGGGAGGGCACCGGGGCACCGTGCCCCCCTTTGATTTTGGCATTTTAACATTAGCCCTATGGGCGTTGCATGGAAAGAATGGGACCAAAAGTCGGCAGTGCCCCCCTTTAATTGAAGGTGTTCCGCCGCTACTGCCCAGAACCCGGTCTGCGACCAGGCACCGTCCCAGGGGTGGTCACTCCGAACAGCTGCTATGCAGGCATGAACGAGACATCAAGGAGACTATATACGCTTAATGTGAGATTCATAATAAGCTTTGCAGGTGACGGTGGCTAGCCTACCAATCATCAGCAAGGTAATTAATACTTGATATTAATCAATGTGCTGTTGGAGCCTGAAGCCACACACTAAAACATTTCATTCGCGTATAAATTACAGTTCGATGTCTTTATCAAAGTGACAAAAAACAGACAGCTAATTCTTATCATATTTCTCACTCTCCCTCCCTTCCTCTCTCTCTCTCTCTCTCTCTCTCTCTCTCTCTCTCTCTCTCTCTCTCTCTCTCTCTCTCTCTCTCTCTCTCTCTCTCTCTCTCTCTCTCTCTCTCTCTCACTCTCTCTCCCATCCTTCACCTCCTTTCTACCCTATCCCGCCTCTTTCATCTCCTCTCTCTCTCGTCTTTCACCGCCGTCTCTCTCCTCCCGTCTCGGCGTGATTGCACGTGCGGACGCTGTCCGGGAGAGATGGAGCGGTCAGCGCGGCACCGTCGCGGCCCAGTGGTCAGTATGGCCCTTCCCCTATCCCCCTCTACATTACCTCTATAGCTCGCCACGCAGGAGACACGTTATGGATGCATCGCTGCTGCCGTGCTGCTTGGGGGTAGAGTGCACCAATGGTAGGTAGGTATGGCCACTGGAGAGAGAGAGAGAGAGAGAGAGAGAGAGAGAGAGAGAGAGAGAGAGAGAGAGAGAGAGAGAGAGAGAGAGAGAGAGGGAGAGAGAGAGAGGGAGAGAGAGAGAGAGAGAGGGGGGAAGAGAACTCTGGAAGAGAACGTGATTAACGATTTGTCTCGGAAAGGACAATGGAAGCCCTGCATGAATAAAATGTACAAAAATGTGAGGACTAAGCCTCCAAAGCTTTTTCTCCTGAGACAAGTCGCATTTGACGTGCAGCTGCAAATGGCCGCTAAAAGGTCGTTTAGTCATCAGTTACCTTCTCGTCGATCTTCCCGTCGCCTGAGAAAGACTCAGTAGGCTTGCTAATGGCATTCAGCATGCAAACAGCTGGTCAGGATATTGGGGACGCGTGCCTTCGGTCCACGAGGCTCTCGTGAAGACTGGCGTAAGCATGTCTGCCACAGCTAACCGGGACGCCAAAAGCCCATGCGGTAGGCGCCTCGAAAGTGTGGCGAGTGCGATTGTTATAAAAGAACGAGAGCAGCGGGGTCGAGGTTTGGACAGTCTTAACCCGCGCCCCACTGGGGGGGGGGGGCTATTTATAGCCCCTCCTCCCGTTTTTCTGCAATAACTTCCAAACCGCTTGTTGTATCGACGCCAATCTTTCAGTACCTTAGGCTGCATCAATTTGACACCTTGTGTCAAAATTTGAACTTCGTACCTACTATAGGTCGGCCGGAAATGACGTCAGAGTGACGTCATGTTCGGCCGATTTCGACGCAAAACATTGAACCACGGCAATCGCTCCCAAGAGCTCAGTTTTTAAGCTAGATCTAATTTCTTTGCATGAGAGGACTCAGAATAGACTGCGCTATCAAACTGCTATCTCGAATTTTCGAAATTTTGAAAATTTTGAAAATGTTATATAATAATATCCAAAATTTATATTTTTACATTTTTTTCAAAAAGTTTTTGACTTTTCGAAAAAAACGGAATATATATGACAGAACGCATGCCTATGACTAACTCAAGCAAGTTTTACCTAAATATCTTCAAAAATGGCCAAGTTATACGCATTATTGCAAAAAATTCACAATTATTTATTTTTCAAATCAATTTTTCAGTACGTATTTGACATCGTACGCCAATATAAATAGCACCATCGTGTTCCTGAGCTCAAACGGCATCCAATAGACACCTTTTTTGTTAAAAAATTTTAACTTCAAAATTTGACCTTTTTTGACCTGAAAGTGACCTAACATAAGCTAAATTCGACTCAAAATGACCTCGAATAACACAAACGACATCAAATTCGAAATCTCTGACCTAAATGGACCATAAAACATGTGTCACGTGACCGACGCATGATATAATATTTTCGTGACCTGTGATGACCTGACCTTGACCTGAAAATCAAAGTACAAGTTTGGTACCTTCAGGGTAACTAGAGCATCTGTTCCGAGTGTGTGATCCAAAAATGAGCCTGGTCTGACTTGTAAGATGGCGGCCAGAGCCCAAAACGTGATCAAGCCAAAATGCTAATAATTTTTACTTTGACCTGACCTGTGACGTCATCGGTGACCTCGAGGTCAATGAAATTAGGTTTCGCTCGACAGTTTTTCCGGGGCTATCAGACGCCGTTTGAATTTTGACGATCGGCCCGATAGTTTCGGAGTTAGGAGGGGGGGCTATGAATAGCCCCCCCCCCCCCCCAGTAGGGCGTGTTATACGCAGACCCCAGTGGGGCGCGGGTTAACGAATGCTGTCTTGAAATCTGTCGAATGTCATACTGAAAAGAATGCGAGGATCCAAGTTTAATAGGCCGCCGCGGAACGGCTGGTAAACGCTATCACACTACCCCGTCGCAATCAGGTCTTAAAAGGTGCATATATTGTGCAGAGGTTGTCGAATCGATATTTTGCCCGGCAGAATCGATATTTTGAGTCTTGAGTCCCACACCCCACCTACACATACCTGAGTATGGATGTGCCCAGTTCGTTCCCGAGGAAAATTACATAAAACCATAAAAAATATAATGGCAAAATTACGACAATATTTGTCAGAACTCAGGTAGGTATTCATCCAATATCTTGCCGACGTACATTCTCATTGCTAAGTAAGGAAGTTAGAAAACATACGTAGAATATCCATACCAGCTTTCTGGTGCGTAGGTTCAACATATTACACAAGTTTTTCTTTTACATGGTTTTGATATTGTAATTACTTACTTTATTCACCGTGAAATTACCTTCATGAATGAAAAGTATTCCTTGCCCTTGCTGAAATATCTTCGAACAGGTAAAAAATTGGTTAATTCATCGTGCATAAGCGTAATGCTCAAGATGAAAGTGCGCTGTTAAATATCCACTGCCATCATAATAAGGCACCTAAACACTCAGCGCTAATTTAACCACTTATTAGCTAATAACCCAGTTATAATTTTTGAACTATACTCATGGGAAATATTGTCCAATGGCCAGCTCCCCAGTTGGCAGCCCTGCCCACCTGTGAGTGTCGAGGTAGCTGCGGCGAGCCGCCCGCTCTCCGGCGCCGTACGGTTACATCCCGCTGGGACCCTCCGCCCCGTCGCCGCGCCCACGCGTCAGCCCCCGACCGCCGGCCGCACAGCCACGCCGCGACTGAGTGGCGGCGGCGGCGGCGGCGGCGGCGGGCAGGGAGCGGCCGAGGGCCCGACAAGAACGGCCCGTCCCCCAGATGACCCCGGCCCGCCACACGCAGCGCCGCCGGTCGCCACGCCAGCATTAATTATTCGACCGGCCGCTGTATACAGGGTGTCTCAAAAGTTCGCTTACAGGTACCAGCCATGCTTTTTTGTCAATAATTCTGAATCAACAAGAAATTAAAAGTCGAAATTTCGCATGGGCATTGGTGACAACCTTCCTCAAGCAGTCTCATTGTTTTCAAGTGCATTCGACCCTTCATGAGCTCACAAAAAGGGTTCACCTCTGACCATGGGTCAGGCACGAAAATGTAGGTTGCAAAGTCGGGTATGTTGTGAAACTCTCTGTTTCAGGAGTAATGGGAATGGTTAAGTCGGAAATGACACATGGCTAAGTGTCGGCGAGGATGAGTGCAACATGATGATCATCTCATAAAAACGGTGGCTAAAATTTTTGAAGGACGAAACCATGCGAGACTAACGGCATTTTGAACGACCCTCGCACGACAGCAGACTCGTGTTCCGGAAAGCAGCTGAAAATGCGGTCATAACTATTGAAAACTGGCAAGAAACTCACAGACAGAGGTTACCCATTTTCAAAAAGTGCAGGTCATCGTAAAATAAAGGCAAATTATAATTTAAAATTGTTTATAATATCTATAACGCTAATTTTTGGGGACAATAACACAAAAATCGTCAATGCCAAGGACACCTGACCCTCCAAAATTGTCAGTTATTGTAAAATTTTATCTAACGAAGTTTCAAGAGGCAGATCTGCAGCGAATAATTTTCTTTTAAACACAAAATCCCGATAAAACCACACAATGGACAGGTTTGGGCCGTTTACAAAGCAGAACCTCTCCCGAGGAAAACACTCCGCAACCGAGCGAAGGTCTTGGCATGGGGAATGACGAGCGCTTGGAATTTGCAAAATTTGCACAATGTGTCTGAGAAACAGACGTCCGACACATTCTGCTACCATATGATGCGAAAAATTTACTCCTGGCACTTCCCGTTTGTTCAGGACTGGGGTCGTTTTGAAAAGGAAAATGGCGCTTGGGATGTCGGCGCCAGTCATTCATGAAGGAGTTAGCGCCAGAGAATGCCTACAAAATACTCATGAATGGTGTCGATTCAAGCTGTCGGCTTTCAGGGAAAATCAGATGTTGCCGGGGAGCTAGTCAAAACTAAATCCGACGCAGAAACTGCAGGGGATTCCCCTGCAAGAGCTTGAAAGCTGGTAACCTTTTATCAGCCTCCGGCAGCTGACGGAGCAACAAAAATCGGTATGGGCAAATATTTTTGGAGATACAACAAAGGGGTTGGTTTCTAACCTTCTTAATCAGTTGTCAAAGCATGCATATTTGTCTAGTGTACACACAGACACCAAAACCTTATACTTTTGGCCGGTTCTTAAATGCTTTATTGGCATGGGAAATGTGTAAACGAACTTTTGAGACACCCTGTAGTTGAGGCGACCGGCGACGGATATCGACGGACCACACAGTCTGCTGCAGCCGGCTCATAGCGCGGCATCCGCCGGGCACGTGTCCCAACCGTGAACACCGGCCATCGACTTCAGAGCGATAACAACTACACTGGAGCGGGCCGCGCCCGGTTCAGACTGCCAGCAGTCGTCGGCAGCTGTCAGAGACCGACAGTAGGTATTAAATCTGACCGGGCACTGAGCTTACAGATAGTCACAACTCCCCTACGAATTACTGACTAAATATCAGAACAGCGTTAAAGGGACCCTCCCACCTTAACATTAGATTTGAGTTGAGATAGCCAAAATGGGGTCCCTGGCTCACAATTACCGGTTTCGGCACTCACAACATCGAGAAATGCCTTAAATCGGAAATATTGAATTTCAAAATTGCAGCATTTTGATTCAGAGGGGCTAATGCATAGGAATACCCCTCTGAATGTGTGACGTCAGTGAAGATATCTAACGATTTTTAAATGTTTGACTAAAACGTTTTGTAGCACGCGGTGGTATATGCTGCTTTGCGCGCAACAAGTGCCGCACTTTCAGCTGCCAAACTATTGCTTCCAAATAAAGTCGCTAGGAACAGCGGAGATCCCAAAAAGTAAACAAAAGAAAAAGTATAATATCTTGAAAACCGGTGAATATTTTTCGGTGAAATTTGGTAGATATTCGTTTTCGCTCTTTCTGAACCGAGCGACATCACTTTCATGCCAATTCATAAACTTTTTTGAAGGTGGGAGGGTCCCTTTAAGTACAAGGATTCTTGGTGCAGCAATGAAGCTGAAGTTTGATGATGCAGGCACATAAAAGGCCCTCCAAATAGGTCACAGATCTCTGTTTACTAAGTTACCTACTACAAAACCATTCAAAAACCGTACCAACTAAAATTGAATGAGGAAGTGTGCCACAAAGTACGGACTTTAAAAACGCAGCAAGCAGTTGCCATTTTTTGAGTCACGTGAATACCCTCAGCCCGCGGCCTTGTGGACGTCAACGCACAGGGCGCATGGCTCAAAGTTCACCTCAAAGTTAATTATCCTTCGGGTAGCCGAAATCGATACCCAGTCTCGAAGTCGGCGGAACGCCACGGAAATCAGATAAATACGGTACCTTATATCGAATTTAGAGGTTCTGATGGAACAGGAAGAGAATATCAAATTTAACGGGTCTCGTGGGACTGAAAGAAAATATCACATTTTGTAAGGATCTCGACTCGGAACTGGCCAAAGAAAGCACCAAGAAAATGGCATTCTCTTCTCCAAATTTGTTAAAATCATCCCATCCACCCATAATGCTTAGGTACATTGAATTGAATTAATTTGTATGCAGTGGTGCGGGAACTATACTTTCAGGCTAGAGGGGCACACCTGATACTTTCTGGAACACAGGGTACCCCTAAATATAGCTTTCTCACCGGTTTTAGGCCACTTATTTTCCCCTCTGGCCTTTTTAACGAAAATAACGAAACGAAAACATTTGCAAAAAAGTGAGATATTCCGTCACGTCTGAGTCATAGAACTGCCTTTTTGGTAAGCTGGAATAAAGGTTTAAATCTTCCACATGAGCTGTCAAGCCAGGTTAAGAAGTTTTTTTTTTACTTAAACGTTTTCTTCCCTTCAGTATTCCTTTGTGACCCATGATCGCTAATTTAGGGAGGACAAACTGCCCCGACGATTCCTGGCCCTATGAAAAGTTGTGGGGGCAGGCTGCCCCCACTGCCCCCCCCCCCCGGCTCCCGCGCCTATGTTTGTATGTTGATTTATATGAAATGTTTAATCAAAGTTGTACGCGCACAGCGTACCTTCATTCCTTCACAGGTTTTGCTTCGTCGAGAGAAAAGTTTCCGCATACCTAAGTGAAGCACTGTAAGCGTAAATCTTATTCATGTAGGTACTTAATTAAACGGAAAAGTCGAAATGCATGTGGTTGCCGTTTTATGTCTAAACAAAAAATAAATAAATGGCGCTAGGCTGGCAAGATCATGTCCATCGCCACCTCTGCAACTGAGTGCCAACATACCGGTGTCAAGTCTTCTAAAATGTGTCCGTTCTCTGACCCAATACGCCGCGCCGGCCGGCCGGCCGGCCCGGCGCTGTAAGCACTGCGGCACAGCATAACTTTCAGGCGTCCGTTAGCAGTGCCATCTAGCGATGAATTCATAAGCTAGGTATCTAGCCGGGACGTAAACGCCTCACTTTCCGCGCCGATACCCGTTTCCCTCGAAAAGAGCCAGCGACTGAGGAACAGGCGGGGCCGGCGGCTGTGGGAGCCCGCCTGCCGCCGACGCGCCTAATCGTGTGGAAGTCGACGGAGGTGCCTCATTTACGCCCCTCTCCCCACCCTCCCGTCCCTCCCTCATCTCTCCTCCGACCATTGTCGCCGCGGAGGCCTTCACACACCCCTCCTCCTCTATTTTCCCCGCTCTCCCTCGCTCATTTCCGCCGCGGTGCGCTCGGCTGCTCTGCCCGGCCGCGGCCGCCTGACCGACACCCTTCATCGCCGCCCCGCCGGCCCCAGGAACAATGGCCGCGCAACAATGGCTCTCGTCAAATATCGTTCGCGCTCGCGACCCAACAGGGCCGCCCGTTGTCCTTGCGCTCGAGAGTAAAGGTCATCAGTGGATGAATTATAACGTTATGCTGCCTCTCGAAACCAGCCTGAGCGGGGCTTCTGGTATTGATGAATATGAACGTCGCGTTTCAAGGCAATGCTAAATTAAAAGAACTGGTGGAAATGCTAAAATGATAGGATGGGGAGAAGGTTTCAGCAGATTGTCGTGTCGCTTCGTCTCATCAAACGGTTTGAAAGTTTTATCTTCAATACTTTGTCGAAGCTGGACTGCCAGCGTTCGATACTTCTTTATATCTATGTATGATCCGATCTGTCGAGAAGAGGGAAAACATGCCATAAAAAACAGCTGGTCGCACATTGGCATCGCATACCAAGCGGAACTGGAGAGAAGTCCATCTCTAATCAGACTGATTGCGGCCAGCAACGCCAAGCGAATATGATCAACACTCACAAAAATGAGTGTCCTGGACCTGAATCAGAACAGCTTCATCCTAAATCACACCTTGTCAGCGCAACATGGAAGCTGCACTGCAGGCAAGCATTTCAGTTTCGGTTTGAGCTTTCGGAGGGTGTTCAAATACGCACATACAACTGTGGGGAAGATTCAACTGTATCGGAACTCGCCGAAGCGAAAAAGAGAGAACACATATAACTTACTGTCTTTGCTCCAAAATCCATAACACAACAAGCACATTGAGCAATATCACATCGCCTTGCCCAAAACAAAATAACGAGCCAACTTCATTAGCACACAACATTCGATGAAAAACATTGTACGCGGTGCTCACGTTACCACAACGGCATGATCCTCAATGAGCTGACATCATTCTATGGATCATCATACATAGCACAATTGTAGGAGACGCTTACCACACTTTCCCTACAGCATAGCTACAACAAATGCCGTCCGATATGACTAGACCGAGGCGAGTAACTGGCACAGGCTGCTCTCACCGATACAGCCGCAGCAATACCGGAGAACCGTATCACAGAACGGAGAAAGTCGTCCACCTCAGCCACCGCACTCGTCCGCTCGGCTGCTTTACTACATTGGTGCCTTCACAGCGCGCTTGTAGGGTCGGATCAGACCTACATCACCTCTGATCTCTCGTAGCCACTTCTGATGGATCAGATTTAGTTGTAGTGACCTCAGATGGGTCGCGTTTTACCTCTGTGACTTCTGACGGGTCAGGTTTAGCCTCCGTGACATCTGACGGGCCACATTTAGCCTTCGTGACCTCTGATGGATCACGCGATACCTTCGTGATCTCTAATGGGTCAGGAGTAACTTCTGTGACTTCCGACGGGTCAGGCTTAGCTTCAGTGACCTCTAATGAGTCAGGTTCAACCTTTGTGACCTCCGATGGATCAGGATGAACCTTCGTGACCTCTGAAGGCTCAGTTGTCACCTCCGTGACCTCTGAAGGACCAGGCGTCGCTGTCGTCATATCCGTCTTCCTCGCCGAGTTGATATCTAAGGTCAGCGTCAGGGCGTACCCCAGCGGTGACCGTGACCGGGAGGAGCTCCTCACCGGCACGCCGATACGGTTGTGGAGCAGCCCGTCCAGATACCGGAACGTACTGAGCAGACAGTCAAGGAAACACCCAGAGCACACAGCGTCCGTATACGCGGCCAGCTCCCTCTGTTTACGGGCGGGCATTGTTGTACCGGGTCGAGTTCTCGCCTCGCTCGGCAGCGCCGCGGGACGGCGCCATTCACAGGCTATGTATTCAGGGGGAGAGAAGCGTGACGGGAATAATGGAGCGGCCCGCACCTGCCGGCCTGCTGCTGGGCGCCCACCCCCGCCCGTTCTCACCGCCACCCCCACCCCACCCCCATCACCCCACCGAGGCACGAGAGCAGCTGACGACACAGTCCCAGTGCCAGGGACGCTGCAGCCGCCGCACCGGCCCGGAACTCGCCGGGGTTTGAGAGGAAAAGACTGCATATTGTGGACGGCATAAAAGGACGACAAACACAGACAAATGTGGCATGATGCCAGGACCTGAGATAGGATTTGAGGGAAATATTTCAAATTGTTGATGACAGTAGGCATCGAGAGATGTTTCAAAGAAGAGGAAAAAATCTGGCAGGGGAACGCCGACAAAAGATATTTATTACATGAGGCATTGATGAAGCTTGATGCTCCACGAAACCAATTTCGGCTTCCTTTGATTTAGGGCTAATGTATAACTACGAAAACGTAACAGTGAAACAAAGTTTAATCACCCGAAATACCGCCCTCCACGCCAGTATCGTCAGTCATCACAGTGTTCGAGAGGCCGGTGACGAGGAGACGTCCCCGGACCGCTGCCTCTCCCCGGCGCCGTCCAGCCGCGGCGTCCGTCGGCCCGTCACTCTCCGAGCACCGGCGGCGCGGTGCGGACGGCTGGTGCCGCGTCAGCTTCCGGCCGGCCCCGGGGACAATCCCGGCCCGCCGAGCGAGGCGGGCGAGACAGCCCAGAGTGACCCAGGGGCTACAGGGTTGATGACGTACCGGGGATTTTATCAGCCGTCCCAGGGCAGAGTGGACACGGGTCGTTAGCCAGTGGATGATAGGGCAGCTACGACAGATGTTATAACGATTCCCCAGCAAGCAGCAGTCAGTAGGTGTAATTACGGCGTGGAGGTCACCTGTTGATCGGATGTGAGATGACCAGACAGCCAAGGTTCTGCCGGTGTGAATGGAGCGGTGATGAAGGCCAGTCATTAATGTGACATTGGTTTGTCGTCAGTCCCAGGGCCACCACTCACCAAACCGACTCACCTCTCACCGTCTGAGGGTGACGGGCAGCCAATATACCCCTTTCAGACCCGGACACCCCATCACAGCCAGCCACTCACACCTAATGGCGCGCACACCACAGCAGTCCCTGCTCAGCAGGCACGTAGCCGCCGCCATTCACACCCGTCCTCAGTAACAGCCTCCTCTGTCCTCTGCCCCCGCCCCCGCCGGCCCCGACCCGCGGGCGGCGTCCGTCCATTCCCGTCACGGTCCCGCCGCGCGGCGCCCCGGGCGCGCTGTCTGTCATGCATGGTGGCTCGGTCACGTCGCCACAGGCCATAGAGACGCCATCTCGCCCCGGCACTGATATGTCCACTCCGAGGGCCGCGCGGAATGTGAAGAATACTGGAGGTGATGACCGGCGAGCGGGCGGCATGACAATGAGAATCAGAGCATCGTGGTGTTAAAAACCGATGGCGATATTTAGTCGGACCACTAAACATTTAAATAAGGCAAAATTTTAATGGAAGTATAGGGTGACAATTCTCCGGTCAAGGGAAGTGAACCTCAATTGGATAAACAAAACTTTTTTTGTCCAATTAAAACTGAGCTGTAATGATTAAAACATGCGTAGTAACTTTTGACATCTGACAAAAACTTCAGATTTAACTTATATATGAATGCGGTAGATTGTTTTTTGGAAATGCTGCAAGTCTAACTCAATGGGTACAGCTAGTCACGGTGGCCAAATTATGCATGAAACATAAAATTCAAAGTGCAATATCTCATTCATGGAGGCGGAGGCTGTCCGTGTTCCATTCCGAATATGTCCCCGGTTTTGCGGTCTGGTATTCCCGGCTATCACTATTCACAGGACATTACCCGTCGCGACAGCGTCTCCTCCCCCAGTCAGGGAGCGGGACCATCAGCCAGTCAGACGGGGAGGCTGCGAGGGGCGCACAATGCAGCGGGAGGACCCGGAGACTGACGGATGGACGCGACACACGGCTCGCCGGCCGACCGGGACGGCAGGGTATCACACAGTGGAGACACGCGGCGGGTCGGGACGGCAGGGTATCACACAGTGGAGACACGCGGCGGGTCGGGACGGCAGGGTATCACACAGTGGAGACACGCGGCGGGTCGGGACGGCAGGGTATCACACAGAGGAAACACGCGGCGGGTCGGGACGGCAGGGTGTTGCAGAGGAAAAGAGGAGACACGCGCGGGACGGACAGTATATCACAGAGGAAACACGAGGCGGGAGCGGGAGCGGGGGGACACCAAGGGAGGATGTCAACAGAGGGAGGAAAAAGCACCGGGATGGTGTCACTGGAAGTTTCCGTGAATAACTGCAGAGTGGTAACCCGTAGTAGTCAATCGATAAAAGCTCATTTAGCTGATCACTCAGGCTAATGTAAACAGGCATGACGCTGTCACGACAACACTCCATTTGTTCTGTGGGGCCGTGGTCACCGGCCAATTCTATCATTAACTAGCCCAACGCAACTGCAGAAATTGAGACCATCCGACCAGCCAGTAGAGTCGGCACTCTCGGCACCAAAGGATACACCATGTGCTCGGCCTCCGTGGAGTAAATGTGCTCCACCAGCCGGCGCTCCATCCGTGACACCGTCTCGGCCGAGTCGGCGCCCCACCGCAGCGGACCGTGCGCGTTCCACGGCGCGTCCGCCACCGTCTCGAACGTGGCCTGGGGGCACACAGAGGTCACACACGGGTCACAGGTCAGCCGGGCCACCACACAACTGTGACGTCACACACAGAGGAGCAAACGGGAGACACGGAAAGGAGACAGAACAAGGGGGAGGGATGGGAGACGCGTGGAACGACGAGGGGATAGCGCGGTCCGGCGAGGAAAAACGGGAGATGGATGACACGTTTTTGAGCCGAGGCCGCACGCTGACTGATTGTAGAGCCAGGAAAGACGCCGTCTACGCCGCCACAGAGCGGGTAACTAAGGCGCGGGCCACCTGATCCCTCATTACGCCGAGAGATATTCTTGTCGCCGCGTCGCTGGGTTTATGGTGAGAATATCCAGCACGGTAATAGGACGTTAGCAGCAGTTACGGTGTCACAAATTGCGGAAGTGAGCAGGACTGGCCAAAATTATTGGATAGTGTATGAGCAGCGCTGGGTTAATGCGCTCATCGTTCGGCTCACAATGGAGTGGAGTGAGGTGGGTCGAAGTGGAGTGGACTGAACTGGGAGTGGAGTTCACTAGGGGAAGACGAGTTGTACCACCAAGCGACAAGTTCAGGACAGAAGAGCATCCCGACCCGCTGCCTTATCAGCCACCGAGTCCGTAAACATGCCCGCAGCCTGCAACTTACCATTCACCGCCCACCTCGTAGCTCTCGTCCCTGACGCGCCGTACCTGTGCGTCCGTGCTCGATCACAAGCGCTGTTTATGATGAGCCTGCCCTCTATCTGTAATCGATACCCGTCAGCCCGACGCCGTCCTTCAGCCTGAATGTCTCGGTGACCTTCAAACAGACCAGTGAATAACTGCCTTCGAAGGCAGCCCCGTACAGTGAATTGAATTCGCTTCTGTCAGATATTGTCTGGTTGACCCTGTTATGTCAGTATACCAGGAGTTGTGAGTGTGTCGATATTGGACCCGTCCCGAGTCACCTCGTATCACTATGCTCTTCTAAAGTCGTATCTGGTGGAACTGACAGAAATAAGAAAGAAGCCAACTACATTCAGCGCAGCCAAACACGAGATGTTTCAGATTCTGTTATGTATCTCTAAATCGAACAGGCTCGTAATTTCTGTGGTAGCTTCGATAATTATACCAACCGTTCCGCGTCCTGTATGCCACCTGTTTGTTGCTCATATGTTAACTACATATCTCGCTTGGCACGTCCCTGAGTGGGATGGCCGTGCCGCCGCCACCGTCTGGCGTGCGGCCTGCTAATCAGAGGTCGTCGGGCTGGGTCCGCCCCCTGTGTCAGCAAAACAGCACAACGACGCTACTCACGCCACGGGCAGACGGGAGGAGAGAGGCGCGGGGGCGGCGGGAGAGAGGGAGGGAGTGAGAGGCCGTCCGCGGTTAATCCTATCTGGACGGACAAATCCCCCAATCAGAGCGAGGAAAAGCCGACAGAGGGAGCCGCCGGTGTTCCGCCGGATCAGCCACTCCCCTGGGAGCCGGGAGCAGGCGGGGACGGCCAACAGACGGGGAGCACACGGGAACGCTCCCTGAGGAGCCGCCCGGCCCGCATATGGTACCGCCCCGAGCAGGGCCGGCAGCGGGCAGCCGCGGCGCCCAACGACTCCCCCGGTGGAAATGTATCCCGCCGCCAGTGCATACGCTGAAACCCTCTGCTGAGAGGCGGTCTGCGGCCGGGACAAGACGGACGGGCTCGGGGCCGCGGCGGCCGGCATCGGGGCGACCATTTCCAGGTCTGCGATCTCCGGCGCCACTCATCTTCGGGAGAGCGGGAGCGGGCCGTGGGCCGGGCGGCCCCCATAAATATCCGGCACGTCCGACCGGCGGCGGCGCCCGCCCCGTTCCACACAGGCCACCCACCGCCCGCCGGCGGCAAAAAGACGCCCCCGCCACCGGACGGGAGCGGGGCAGGCACGCGGCCGGCCCGCCGCCACCGACACTAACAAATCGCACCACCGCTCCAGAGAGTTTTTACATCGACGCAAGGGGCTTGCAGGCTTGATCGAAACCAAATAGATATGTCTCAATAAATATACAGTGGATGGAAAATATATTGCTTGATAAAGCCGAAGGAATTTGAAAAGTAAATTAAGCAAACTGAATCCGGAGTTCAAAATGAATTTTCCCTTCACCCAAAGAGGAAGTCAAATTAATTTTCCTAAACACATTCAATTAAACAGCTCTAATAGCTCTCGACTCTGAATACTGATGACATGAGTTACCCATGACATGATCTGTTTGCAAAATACCGAAATTATAGCTTAATTATGCCAGGACAAGCCAACTTCCAAAGTTTAAGGAGCAATTTCAAGTAAAGTTACTTAAAGTTGGGTCATGGAGCGAGCTTAACTCGATCTTACCCGCGCTTCAAATAGGTTTACTTGTTACATATGCATATCCTAACTTTGAAAGTGGCTAGGAAGTCTTTCAAATTGACATAGACCTTTTACGAACGTACCATGACATAACGTGCAACTGGTAGCGAAGATCGCTATTTATACCGGTCGTTTGCCGTAAGTGGCAATCGACTCGCAGAAATTGCACTTCCGCTGTTTAATCTGGCAAGGTGAAACACTTTAATTTAGTTTCGCGCGGTGCGGTTCATAGGAAACGTGTGAAATGAATATCATTTATCTGGTTTGTTCGCAGTAAAACGCCAGAACCTCTTGCTGAAATCAGGATATCTGAAGCAGTGTGAACGTTTGTGTAAATCTGGTACCGAAATGATCAATACTGTGGTCGCGCAAGACCATTCTATGTATGTACAAATTAGCCCACGACCACGAGGAGTTTCACCGGAGTCAAATAAAGCGATACACCATTTCCAAGCAGCGCCGCTCATCTGTCTCAGATCAGTTCCAATTCGCTCAACTGTCTAAGTATCATTCCCAGGCCGCTCACCCGTCTCAGCATCAGTCCCAGTCCCATGTACTCACCCGTCTCAGCATCAGTCCCAGTCCCATGTACTCACCCGTCTCAGTATCAGTCCCAGTCACTTGTCTCAGTACGAGTTCCTTTTACCCGCCTCAGTATGAGTCCCAGTTCGCTCACCTGTCACAGTATCAGTCCCAGTATCAGTCCCAGGCGACTCACCCGTCTCAGTATCAGTCCCAGTCCCAGGCGACTCACCCGTCTCAGTATCAGTCCCAGTCCCAGGCGACTCACCCGTCTCAGTATGAGTCCCAGTCCGGGCGCGGTGGTGGCAGTCAGTCGCCGGTGACCCAGGGCGTCCGTCACCGCATGCCGTCCGGCGGCGCCGCGACACACGGCCACGGCCAGGCCGACCATTCGGCGGATCTGACTCAGCACGAAACTGCGCCCTGACAAGAGAACGGGGAGAACGGTTCATTAACCAGGAAAAGGTTAACACTTGAGCTATCTACAGTCTTCACTACTATTTTTATTCATAATCTAAGCCAGCATTTACACTAAAAGGTGCACAAATGGATATATTGTTATATCCACTATCTAGCCCTAACTCACACTACATTTCATATTTGTAGGTTTATCATATGTCTGATTTCGGATGCAGCTGCGGCCGTATCACAGGCACGCCACGTCAATGAGCCGGGCCGGCCGGTCGGGTCTTCTGAGAGCGGCGTTATTAGCTGCTGACGAGGCCCGGGACTGGAGAGGCCCGGCCGGCCCACTAATTAGCCCGCCGGCAGCTCTGGTTATTCCATCAGAGCATGCTCAGCCGCGTAAAGAAACGGTAATGAGCCCGGGAAGGCCGCTCAATATCCGAAGTGGAACGGGGAAGTCCCATATCTCGTTGAAGCCTCCACGCGTACGCGAGTGTTGCAAATTGATAGCATCGCGAACAGAAAGTCTACGGAGCAGCATTTCCGTTTAGTGTGATCGCCCAGTGATCGCCGGTAGTTGCTGGAAATGCTCACCTCTGATCCAGATATTCGTGAACTCCAGGCCGTGAGTCAGGTACGGCTCGTCCACCTCCACACTCATAACGCTGCGGGTCATCTGTGCCGCGTTCGGGTCACTGCGGGGACGGAACGGAGAGGTCACTGTCAGGTCACTGCAGGGGAGGGAAAGGTCAGTGCCGGGTCACTGCGGGGGACGGAAAGGTCAGTGCCGGGTCACTGCGGGTCAACTGCGCCACGTCCGGGTCAATGCGGGGGACGGAGAGTGTGACTGCCGGGTCAGAACCGAGGGGAACGGGGAAGGGGCTAGTCACGCCCTTTATTTTCCACACTTTTATACACATTCAGGTGTTTACGCGCCAGTCCACCAGTGAGCCTAGGTTTACCAATACCAACCTCGCAGTCTCACGTTATCACTAAGGTAACCCCACAACGCTCCGTTCCCTTCAACTCACCCTCCCGGTGAGAAGCTGTGGAAGCTGTGAGAGCCGACATACTGTCGCAGCAGCTGACGCACCTCCCGCAGCCGGCACTCGGGAACACGGTACGAGAGAGACACCGGCTGCAGACAGTGACAGGGGCGTCAGACCACCCGCAGCCGGCACTCGGGCAGGCGGTACGACAGGGATACCGGCTGCAGACAGTGACAGGGGCGTCAGACCACCCGCACGCAGCCGGTACTCGGGAACACGGTACGAGAGAGATACCGGCTGTCAGGGTCGGAAGGGGACGTCAGTCACGTGACAATCACAAATCAATGGTCGATCGACAGAATAGCGTCTATTTTCCCCAACTGTTGTCTACTTCAGTGGTGATGACATACCTCTTCCATCGGAGTGAAGGCGAACGTGGGCAGGGTGTACGAGTACAGCCGGTCGTCACATAGGGTCTGAGCGCTGAACCGCGGCGGCACGCGACGCAAACTACAGACTCGGATGTCGGCCGGTAGATGGCAGTTGATGTCGTCCAGAACGCCGTCCCACACACCTGCACAGCAGACAGGGCGTCAGTTTGTGTGGCTGAAGGAGGCATTGATTGCACATGATCGAATATATGAATCACAGAAAGCATCATTCACTAAGACTATTGATAGCTGAGTGCGCCGACAATAGTCAGCCCTCGGAGATAGCGGCAAGTCATGCGGTACAGCCTAAGTTCAGGCGCTCGCCACTAGTGCCATCTATGAGCGGCAATATCACATACAAATTACCGTCACGTTTTCCGTTACGAGTCTGTCACATGACACATTTTAAGGCGAAACATTCGCAAAATATGATGTTATTACGATTATGTACAGCTTAGCATTGATGGACATCGATACAACTTTGCATCCGTATTTGTCATGAAGCAAAAAGGCACTGTCATAGAACGGAATCACCGTGTCATGCCGTGACCGTACAAAGCCTTCTGTCGTCCACTCACGCATTCTCAGCGACACGACCTGCCCGAGCGCCGAGACGCCGCGGTCCGTGCGCGAGGCGCGTGAGTAGTGTGGCGGGAAGGGTGCTCCGCCGGCGGCCACGGCACCGCTCCGGCGCAGAGCCGTAAACAGCGCCTCCTCCACGGTCGGGAACCCCGAGTTTCTGCGGGGAGGAGGTCAGAAGGTCAGAGGAAAACAGAGAGAGCCCGGTCAGATGGGGGGATCAAAGTGACGTTGGCGCAGCGAAGTCTAAGGTGGGTAACAGCGGATGAGTGGGAATTCGTAGGACTCAACAGACGTAAATCCACGCAAATTGTGCAAAAACAGCTTAAGTCAACACTGCTGACATCTATATAGAAAGCAAAGGTGCCTGCTAATGATAGATGACAAAGCAACTGAAACAGTGATCACGCACCGGGCTTTCATCTACACACGCACTGGCGGATCCAGGGGGGGGGCCACGGGGGCCATGGCCCCCCCCCCCAAAGGCCTAAAGTGGCCTGTTTGGCCCCCCCCCCCAAAACGTCAGAAAAATTTCTAAGAAAATATACCTTGATGGAGGTTTTTAGCCACTTGGTGAAGTAAAGTTTCCACAGCATAATATGGAAGCAATATGGTAGCAGTGAGGGTCAGTCAAAAGTTGCGCGAGCGGAGTCGACCTTCAAAAAAAGACTGTTGTTGGCACGTGTTTATGACGCGGCAGCTGGTAGTTGGCGGTGTTTCGCGTGGTGTGGCATCACTGGCGGATCCGGGGGGGGGGGGGGGTAGCACGGGAGCCTGAGGTGCCCCTGACAGGCCCGTGGTGCCCTTGCTAGGCCTGTGGTGCCCCTGGACCCTGGCAGGCCTGTGGTGCCTCTGGCGGGCCTAGGGTGCCCCTGGGACCTGACAGGACTGTGGTGCCCCTGACAAGCCTTAAGTGCCCCCAACAGGCCCGTGATGCCCCCGACAGGCCCAAGGTGCCCCTGCGGCCTGCGTGATGCCGTGATGCCTGCGAGGCCGGTGGTGCCCCTGCGAGGCCGGTGGTGCCACTGCGAGGCCGGTGGGGCCCCTGACAAGCCCATGGTGCCCCTGCGAGGCCGGTGGTGCCCCTACTAGACCGGTGGTACCCCTGGCAGGCCTGTGGTGCCCCTGCTAGGCCGCTGGTGCCCCTGGGCCCTGACAGGACTGTGATGCCCCTGACAGGCCCAAGGTGCCCCTGTAAGGCCGGTGGTGCCCCTGTAAGGCCTGTGGTATCCCTACTAGGTCTCTGGTGCCCCTTTGACAGGCCCATGGTGCCCCTGCGAGGCCGGCGGCGCCCCTGACAGGTCTCTGGTGTCCCTGACAGACCTGGGGTGCCCCTGACAAGCCTGTGGGGCCCCTCACAGGCCCGTGGTGCCCTTGCTACTTGCTAGGCCTGTGGTGCCCCTGGCGGGCTGGTGGTGCCCCTGCTAGGCCGGTGGTGCCCCTGACACGCCTGTGGTGCGGGCACCAAGGGGGGTCATGACCCATGTGGCCCCCCTTGGATCTGCCACTGATACATAATATATTGATTTGTAAAGGCGTTATGGCTTATGCAATATGCAATTGCAGGCACTTGGTATGCCTCACTTATCCCTTATTGGGGGCTCTGGCGGGCTCCTGAGGGCCCACGTCTATCTCCGGGAGCCCTTGACAGGCTCCTTTGGGTCCTTTCAGTCCACTATAGCATAAGAGGTCTCCATGCGAGTCCTATACATCTGAGGGCGTACCCTGACGTCTGAGGTACCCAACTGCAGCTCCAATGGTCTCTTACACTGGCGGATCCAGGGAGGGGGCATTTAGGGCCATGCCACCTTCCCAGAGGTCTAAAGTGACCCGTTTGCCCCCTCCCCCAAACGATAATGAAACATAGTTCAATCAGTGCGTGGCCTAGGAGCCGAGTTAGACAGGGGGTGTTTTACCACCTCCCGGCCCGCAAAGGGACCCAAGCACTGACTCGAAGCGGGTTAACTGGTCGACAAAAGCAATGGTAAGTGCTTACAAAGTAATATAAAGGCATGGGTCGGGTGGGCTACTATTTATATATTTTTCTTTCTAGTTAAAAAAAAAAAATCATAGTGTCGGAGCTGTGACGAAAAATAAGTGGCCTAAATCCGATGAGAAAACAGGATTTGGGGGTACCCTAGGTTTGGCTCCAGCATGAGTTGGCCCCCCCCCCCCCCCAAAACGCAAGCCTGGATCCGCCAGTGTACACACGTGAAACAATTAGCTCGTTTGACAAGACACAGCCAGACCACACTGAAGCCTCGCACAACTCTGAGCAGCGCAGACCACCCGTCGAGCTCGCAGACCCTCGGTCAAGCTCTCTCACCTCAGCAGCTCCATGCCGTAGTACTGGTCGCCGTGGTAGGCGACCAGCAGCGCCACCTGGCGCAGCCGCGACGGACCGCGCGGGGGAGCCTCCTCCGCGCGGACGGACGCGGCCTCGGGGAGGGAGGCGCAGCCGCGGGCGCGGCGTCCGACCAGCTGGCGGAGACCAGTCCGGCCCCAGTGTGACGGCCAGCGGTAGATCATTTTTCACTGTGCACTGAGTGATGGATGATGAGGTATGAGAGATACTGTCCTTTGTTGATATTATCGAATATTGTGTGGTAAATGAAAGTTTGTAGCAGAGAAGTCACTATGTGATCTGTGAGCAAAATATAGAGCTGTTACATGCAATTAGATAAAGCAGTTTTGAATTCAAATTTTCTCTTAGTGCAGAGCTAGGTACATATCCACAAACAACATAAGATATGAATCATACCAATACCAGAAGACTCACTGTAAAAAAAGAAATGGTTAAGCTTAGTTACTTAGGCACTTATCATGACCCGAATTTGGATAGGTGGGCCAAAGGCCTTTAAAAACATACTCCTTGAGTGCTTCAGTCTATTCCTCTGCATAAGAGGTTTCATGTGTGATGTGTGCCCACTGCCCAGTGAGTGTCAAAGAATCATTGCATGCTTAAATAATTGTGCAGGTACCAACTTACCTACTTCCCTTCCCCTACTCAACTTCATTTACTTCCCCAGCAGCCAGCACCCAGACTAGACCTGCTGCTCCCCATAAAACTGAATTGGAATACACTGCATCACTGATGAAAAAGTGGGTAGCCATAATGCAGGCATCACACTTTCTTGCAACCAAGGAGAGGCAACCAGGTGCTATACCCAGAGATCCTTTCTAATCAAACCAAACCAACTGACCTAACCTTTCCTACAACCTACTACAACCTACATTCTACAACATAAAGCCTACAACCTAGCCTAACCTGTCCTACAACACCTCTCCTTAGTTGCAAAAAAAAAAACAAGTCTAACGCCTGCTTTACTACTACCGAAAAGGTGTCCACTTATGTTTGATTAGCATTTTTATGAGTGAGCCTGGGGCATAGCCTTGGCCTGGGGCGAGACTAAGACATGTTTTAGGGACCAGTACCGCTCAGCAGTTACATTAACTGATCGTAATGAGGGGTTGATAACCATTTTTACCTCGCATCAATAGGTATTCTAATAAGTCACCCTGGTAAGCTTTTAAGTGTGGGGCAGCCAAGTTAATTTTTGAAAGCTAAAACAAAACAAAAATATTAGCATGAAAAAACTCATTTTATATCAATATGGCATGTTACCAAACCCGAAATCGTTGCATTTGATGAGTTATACTGAGTTATACTAATCCTGTAGGTATAAAGATTTTTTATATGTATCCTGATGGTTGTAATCCGTACTTGTTACCACAGCATCTCTAGGAATCCTCCTTAGGGTATATAAAAACACTGCTTCCTTGAGGCACAATCAGTGTATAAAGTTCAGTGATCAGTGTTGGTGTAATATTGATGATTGATATGTTATTTGGCTCTCTCTATCGTCTGGATAAAAATAGGCCCCGCCCATCCCAATCAGCTGCTGCATGACGAGTTGATGACGACAACCACTACTTACCAGCAACCAATCTAGGGATAGCGTACGTGACAGTAATGGTGCAGCGGTTGCAAAATATTGCATTGTTATTCAAACGGTTTTTGCTTTTTGATTGTGATTGTATTGAGATATGTGATTAGATGAGGTGTTGTTGAAGGCAGGTATTTTTTTAAATATTTTTTGACAATTTTTTGCCCCCTTGTGCTGAACCCGGGACCACCTGAAGTCTAAACCTCATTTTATATAACATGTCAATGCTGATGCTGTCCAGCTCAGAGTTTTTTTTTGGGGGGGGGGGCAAACCAAAACAATTTATCGATTCTTTCCATGCATCGTCCGTAGGCGTAATGTTAAAATTATGCCGTTTGGGGGGGGGCAAATGCCTATTTTGCCCCCCCTGGATCCGCCACTGACTGCTCCGATCCTGGTCATGCAACCAACGTTCATGGGTGGTGTTTCACGGCAGAGCACTGCAGTGCGCTGCGTGTGTCAGAGCATTGGGTTGCCATGGCAGTGTCAACAAAGTTCACTGTGACGCTAAGCTATATGACAGCATCCCAGAACGCTAGCACGCTGCGGTACCAGCACCAGCAGCATGCTAGCAGTATTTGAACTCAAACCTCTGTTCTTGGTACAGTTTTTCAGAACATCTCACTCTGTTCCAAACGCGATTCATCATAAACTAAGAGATCACATGCAACGTCATTTGAGTGATGCTATGGTATGCCGTAGCTACCAGTGCACACAGTGTCTGGATGGTGAAACAGGGCCATTATTAATCACATTTGCTTTGCTTTGTTTCAGCAGAAACCTGTCTGCACATGGGAGGAGCGCAACAAAAGCCCATCAAGTTCATGCATGGCAGTGGATCTCAACAGCAGAAAACCAGAAAGAACATGGATGCTTGTAGATTGCAGTTGTACACTGCTGTTATCACGTGATGTGTGTGGCTGGCATTGCTCCTGGCAAGAACCACCTGCAAGTGATGAGATGGTGCCTCAGTCGTTGAGTGTGCTGCAGTGTGAGAGGCGCCCTGATCTCTACTTTGTGATGGGTTTCCATTGGAAGTTCAACTGAGAAGTGAGAAGTGACTGTGACCATGCTCGAGCATGCCAGTGGAGCTTTACATGCTTAGGGCAGCTTTTGAACAGATGCTGACCATGGCATGTCCCATCCAGTTATCACGTGCATAGAATGGTGGGGGGAGGGCAACTCTGGTTGAGTCAGCCCTACTGCGCTGGGGGTACAGATGGCCGCTTACGTTTGGTGTGTCCTGCACTGCATTATCAAGCCCAGTCTGCTGCCACAGGCAATGGATCGGGCTGCACTATATTAAAGGCAGACTACCTTGCAAAGGAGGCTGGCATCCTCTCCCATAATGACACACCAATTGGCAATCATCGCTGCGATGATCACGAGGGTGTCCGCTTATCTAACATGGTGAGGTGGAGAGCCAGCTCAAGCTGGCCTGAGGGATGGTTTTACTTCATCTGAGGCCCCCTTTCCCCGCCTGCCAGGTCCGGTCAAACGACCGCTTCACAGTGAACGACTTGCAGTGGATGCCGTCCCACAGCGCAACGAGCGCGCCGACCAGAGGCGGCGGCCAAGAGGCGGCCGCGCTCCCCCAGTCGACGGTCCCGGTGGACGTCGGCAACGCCCACCGCGCGACCATCAGATCGGCTCGCGACCGCGCCGTCGCCGACTGACCGCATGACTGGTATCTGTTCTTGATGTGGGACCGACTGCCACCGCCGGTCGCGGAAGGGCATCGCTCATCGGCCATCGACGTTCACCAGCTTCGCGTGGGTCACTGTTCGGGCTGCCACCAATACACCGAATCGGATGGAACCCTGTCGGCGAATGCCGGCGGTGCCCCGACATCGACTGCGCGGCGGCCAGTGCATCGCGTGCCGGGAGGAGGCTGGCACCCCCGATCGGTCATTGGTCACAAACCGTGTCCCAGCTCATGACTGCATCCAGCGCAGCTCTGTGCGATGTTCTGCTGCAGTCTGCCGCGTGTGTTGAAAGAAGAATGAACACGAGAAAACCTCAAAACTTTATGCCTATTAGTATTTGACCAGTATTGGAATAAGTTTGGATTTTGAGAATTTGTGTCCCTGTGCTTGTGCCTGTGTGGAAAGGCATGCTTTACGGTGTACCATCTCAATTTGTGCGGCTGCTGACAAGCCACCTGGGTGCCAACGTATGTGCGAATCCGCGAATACGTTGTGTTTCGTCAGTCGGTATCGTTCTGAAAATATTGACTGCAATAGGCTATATAGCGTATGACGGTTCAGCCCAGCAGTAATAACTGACCATTGATTGGGCGAATTTTGTGTGGTGGTTCGCTAATACATAACCTAAAGAGTGTTTTGCCGGAATTGTTTAGTAGCAGAACTGACCGGAATATAAGTAGAATGCAACGGTTTGAATCGTTAATTTGTTGAAACGATTGTTCTCTGAGACCACTGTGTAACTTTTGACCTGAGAATCACCAATTATAACGACAATGGTGGAAGCAGTAGGCACTGTAGAGTGTAGGCAGCACTATATAGTTGGCACGCTTACGCAAGCACACGACTTACGCAGTGGACATCTGCATCATGCATGTTAAGGTTTACTGGGAAGAGTGAGAAATTAGTCAAGGCGATATTTCCAATTGAGCTGGGGATAATTCATTCTCGTTATGCAGCTGTGTAAAAGGGCGTCGCTTTTTTCTTGGGTGAGACCTTCCCCATTGGCCATTTCCAAGCTAAATCGTGGTGGAGAGTCTGGAGACCTCAGCCTCGGTAGTCGGTACCCTGCGCGCTGCGCCACCTTGCGAAACATAAAGCAGCAGTCCTGACATCTACAGGCGTTACTTTTCATGAAAGCGTGGATGTGTTCGCGCTTATGCGAAGAAAATTCTTCCGAGTATGGTTGATAATGAGATTAATTGTTGTCATTTATTTATTAATTCATTGGCAAAAGTACCCTAATAAATCGGTAAAGTAGCTTAAACTGTATCGTATTTCCTTGAGAAAAAATGACGAACTCATCCTAAGACATCCAGATTATTGGATGCGTTCGTCAGTTGTAAGTAGTTCAAGTTTTTGGAAAAAGTTGCTTGTGGAAAATCATAATATTTCAAAGATATGCCTATTTTCGAATAGTTTATGCATTTATCTGCATTGAAAAATGATTGTAAAGCAAAAGTGCAAACGATTGTTGTCAATTTATTCTCTCAAATCACTATTTACGAACGCACAAAACTCCAGCTTTTAATTTAGTGCGTGTGCGAATTGCGGTCAGGAAAAAAGATTTAAACTGTCTATATTCCTCTTAAAACAATGAAGGATGAATGAGAAAAACGCTGTTTTGAACAATTGTATGTTTATTTTTTCTCAATTAAGCAAAAAACCAAAATTTTCAACTATTATTACATTTGCTCTCACAAAACCCATCACTTTTAAGCATGACGTCATGTCAGCCAAACTTACTAGCGCCATCTCTGGAGAGCATCTTTCGAAACCTCCAGACGATAGAGAGAGCCTGTTATTTTACGAAAAGTGCACGAAAAGTGGGTACTTCATATGTAACAAGTGCGCCATAAATGAAACCAAGGCCCTATATACCAGGTAGGGTCGTCCGGCGATTCTACCTTTTCGTGACGTCAGCTCGTGACGTCATTTGGAGTCAAGTCTCGAAGCCCCGTTCAATCCCCATGTAAATGAGCGATTTTCGAAGCACTGTAGAATGAAGTCTGCACAAGATATATCAAACTTAAGTATCTTATCTGAAAGAGCAGACAATTTTCTGCAAGTTATCTATTACGTGTTTTTCGCTAAATCTTTTGCTTTTTTCACAAAAGCGTAAAATGTCCCCCCATGTCTCCGCAGCCTCCCTGCCGCCGGCCGCCGCGCGGTATTCAAATATGCGGCTTGGACTGCCGCGTGCGTTAGGCTCCGCCCATAGCTCCGCCCACATGCGTGACGTCATTCGTGTTAGTGGACACGCAGAGAGATAGGGGACCATAGATATAAAGACTTTATAAAGTCTTTTATATCTATGTAGGGGACGACATGAAACGTTTTGTTTTGAATGGCGCCATCTAGTTTATGCTTTTGAAATGTCAAAGTTTACGAAAACTTTTTTCAAAAAAAATAATACTGAGAATATATTAAATAGAAGTCAAATACTACAAAAAAAAATTTGAGATACTTATTTGTCAAATTTCGATTCAAACGATTATAAACACTTAAATATATTTTTTTGAAAAATAAGTCTCGATTTGTAGCCGCAAGGAGCAGTAGTAATTAGTTGCAAGTTGGTTGCAAGTGCGTTCGAATCTAAGTTGAACATTTTATTGTTTTCTCGTGTATTTTAGGGGTTGGGGTATGGTATGGTAACGCTTGCATTTTTAACATTTTATCGGTTTAGATATCGTTTTTCCAGAACTGGAACAGTGCTGTTTTATGGACACCGAGTACTTTATTTTTAAAGCAGGTATGTCTTTTAATTGTTTTTTATTTTGGTGATGGAATGGAATGCTTAACAAGTTTTATTCAAATGCTTGCTGGATTAATTCCTTAAATTTTTGCTACAAATTTATGAGTTGTTATGCTTAAAATCATTGTTAAAGAAGAACGAAATGTTATTTAGAGGAATTATATATTTTTACATAACAAGCACATTTTTGGTCGGGTAGAGGCTAGATTAGATATTGTGTGGTGGGACTGGGGAACCTATTATACATTGACCAATTATATCTTTAAGCTCTGTCAACTGTATGCTGACTGGCTGACATTTGGCCTCTGCCATAGGTATAAGGTGGCTGCATTCTTGGCATTCTTCCTCAAGGGAACATTTCTGTGCACCGGATTGATTTCAGAATAAGAAATAGAACATCTTTGCCTAAGTGACCATTGGGCC